CAATTCAATTATATTCTTAGTATCAATATGCTTAATGAAATTATTGCTACACATGTCAAATGCTCAATTACATTAGACTTGTTCAAAGGTCAGGCTATCTATCTAAACTCAAAAGGTTGCTTAAATTTAAGAAGGTTTGGATATAAAATTAAAATCAATTAAATGAGTTTGAGTATAATTTTTAGATTCATTTAAATTTCATATTGGATGTTAAACAAAATTTTAAAACTCAAGCCCGACCCAACCTAACTCAAATTCACATATATATAATATTTTTATTTTTATATATATGTGAATTATATATGAATTAATTCACCTATATATAAAAATAAAAAATAAATATATTTTATTAAACTTAATTTTTATTTTTAATTTATATATATGAATTGAATATAATCCAATTAAACTTAATTTAATTATATTTTTTAAATTTTTTATTATGTAAATTAAGTTTAATGGGTAGGCTTGAGATTTTTTTTTTTAATTTGGGCTAGGTTTGAAAAAATTTTGAGATCTGAAATTTCGGATCGGATTGTCCATATAAGTAATTAGTAGCAAGCATGAGTTCAATCGGAACCAACTCAACCTATGAACACCTTTGAGCCACGATATGCATGTATTATTTCATAATTCAAAGAAATTATTGTTTTGGTTTAATTTGGTTTTCCCCTTTTATCGCTTCCAATTGGAAGGATATCTTGTACATAATTTCAATCTCTTCACATATGTTGGTGTTCGTTGCCTCACATTTCCTCTGCTCTTTTAAGGAAAAAAAATCCCCAACACCTACGTTAAACATCTAGTGTCAACAGTTTTTGGTCTTTTGCACTTCTTGCTAAAGGCTGCATTTTTTTGGTAAGGAAACATCTCCTCCAAAAAGCAAGTATGAAGAAGACGTTGTCATCAATAAACATACACAAGGGTTTGGGATTCATGGTGGAAGGATCACCGATGGGGGTACAGATGTTGTAAGCCAACAATTCGGAACAGTTACTGTATTCATTCATCTAGTGATGGTTTTAAGTTGAAGTTGTATTGTTCCTAGTAAAGTCGGTTCACATAAATTCATCTAATAGAAGTCTAGGTGATGGTGCCAGCTCCTTTTTGCACCCCTGAACCACATTTTCCTCTTTCAAAATGATCTTGAAAGAATGTGCTGTTATTAGTACCATGGTTTTTGCTATGACTTTAATACTTTCCTCGCATAAAATTCTTTCATCTTTATTTAATTGGATTGCCAACTTGAATGCAGATGCCCTTGCTCCTGCAGAAGGGAAGAAACTTGCTACTCGAGGAACTGATGTTCCTGAGGACCTGGTTCTTGATGAAAACTTCTCATTGAGGTCTCAAGAAGGTAAATGTGTTGGCCTAATGGTACTTTTTCCCTGTTGTGTATTTCCCAAAATTAGTTTGGAAGCTTAAGACAGGAATTTGAGTATATATCCGCTTATTTTTCGAACATGGTTTGAACATGTAAATCTTAGATCTGTAGACATTCAAACATTCAATGTATTACCAACGAGAAAAAATAAGAAAAACAATTCAAACATTCCCTGTATATGTAGGAAAGAAAAGGAAACACTATCTTCAATCTTCAAACAATTTTAATCGAATCTATACAAAGATCAAAGAAATAAAAAAGGGAATCAGTGACCGAAATCTGGACATGTTTTGCATTTTAAAAAGAACAAAACATAAAAACTAAAAATAATGAAAATCGGATTCATCATGCACTTTGGGCCAACATCTCCAAGAAATCAAGATCACTTCTTTTTTTTTTTTTCTCAAGCTTCCTGTCTTCATGAAACTTGTATATAAACTCATCTGTCCATTCATCAACTCCCCTTAGATGGGGTGGTTTTACAACAACAGCCTTCCATGCATCTTTAATATTATAAATATTAGTCTTGTCAACTGCCACTTCATTTCGTTTGCTTGTCTCTGCCTGTGCTTCGACACATTTGACTTGCATTGACATAGGCTCTGCATAGAGCTTATCTAAATATATAGCTTTATAGCCCTTGTGAAGCTGGCTTTGGTAGTGTTGGTGATGGTGGAGGTGGTTGTAGTTCTACCCGCGAGCGTGATGAATAATTCGAAAGAAACTGTTTCTTGAAGGGTGCAAAGAGACGAAGCAAGCAGAATTCAAGGAGACGATAAGTTACTCTTTGATGGAATTTGGGACGTGGAAGTTACGGAGTTTTGATTTGAGTTTGTTTGAGAAGCTCTTCTAGGCCGTTCTAGCTGGTTTCAGCTTCTCTGCCAGGTTCAAAGGAGGCATTAGATTGTTTAGCTTTGTATAGCAATTATGGCTTATTTGAAAGGTCAGGCTGACACAGTTTTTTGAAATTGAAAAAAGATTTATTATGAAGACTTTTGCAAGCAATCAATGTTTGTCACAGAATACTGGTGACCAAAAACGAGGAAGAAGAAAGGTAGACCAAAAAAAGAAGGAAGAAAGAGACCATAGAGAAAACAGGGAAAAGTTTGCGAGCAGAAATTGGATTTTCATTCATGATGGTAAGTGTATGCGTACAATGCTGTTATAACCAATACAATTGGTATACTTTTACTCATGATTATAAAGAATTGGTATAATAAAGAAAGCTGGAAGAGCTGCCACCTGCCTCAGTCATTCTCATCAATTAACTAACTAATCCAACTAATTATTTATTGACAAGTCAGCTCAGCAGTTACGCCCGCATTTGTACTCTTTCGTTTCACCATGTGGTACATCTCTTAGCCTTCTAGAAAACTTGTCATCATCATTCACGAGCCTTGCCTCTTTCTGCTTCCTCAGTTGCATTTTGTTATGGTTGCCAGCTTGTAATTCGAGCATCTTAGTCACACTCGCATTCCTTTCTGTTCTGTCAACCTGATCAGCTGATAAAATCATCACATTACCCTCTCATGCAGATAATCCTTGTCCCCAAGGATTAAAGGATGAAAATTGAGAACTAACAGCTGAATAGTCTTTCCAAGTGGCATAATAAGGGCCAAAATTAAGCCATTCTACCAGCAATTGAGTCACTGCTTGGTTATCCCATTTTACAAGTCTCTCATCCAATACAGCAAAAAGATAAACCACTCATAGACCCTCATTCATCCCAGGGAAATTTATGTTGGATACTATTTTTGGTCCAATTGTTTTTTTATATTTAGAACATTTTATGGTTTCCCATCAATTCTAGAAAATGAAATGCATTTGCCACCTTTAGCCCCTATTGGAGGCAATAAAAAATCTATGATGGTGTGGTGTTCATTGGAAGCACATAGCACCAGTCCATCTGACATCACACCCCGCAACTTTCCTGACTTTTCATTTGTAAGCAACACAACAAGATAATTCGTTACCTATTCTGGATTGTAATACATGGCCAATCCACTAACCACCTTTACTAATTTAGCCTCTCCCATATCTATGTCTTCAATCCTTAAACTATCAATTGTTGGATGTTTCGACACTTTACAAGTAAGACTAACCTGTTCATTCAGCAAACTGACACTGGTTTCTTTGTCTTTGTCAGTTGCCTCTGTGCCTTCATGTTCTTCACTAAGCATGAACATCTTTCCCCTCAATTCTGCATCTTTAGCAACGCATTTTGGTAACTTTTCTCCTGAGATGGCTTTAAAGGTTGTAGGAGTGGATCCAGCCTTGAGGGTGACCCGTTCATAACAGTAACTGATTATTTACTGACAAGTCAGCTCAGCAGTTACGTCAGCATTTTGTACTCTTGCGTTTCACCATGTGCCACCTCTATCAGCCTTCTCAAAGCCTTGTCGTCAACATTCAGGACCCCTGCCTCTTTCTACTTCCTCAGTTGCGTTTTATTATGGTTGCTAGCTTGTAATTCCAGCACCTTAGTCACACTCGCATTCCTTCCTGTTCTGTCAGCTTGATCAGCTAGTAAAATCAACACAATGTTCTATGGAAGAAGTTTTCATTATCCATTCTTCTATATATTTTTCTCTCATTTGGGTGGCTTGAAATGTCCTTTCTTTTGCTTTATATTTGTAGGAATACCACTTTTCAAATGTGGGAGCCAAAGAAATTAAGTTGGGGTAGGTTTCTTTAGAATAAGCATAGCAGCAATTGTAGCAAAAATGGATGTATTTTCCAACAACCCTGTAATCTATTGGCTTAGTGCTGGATTTTTAGTTTTGAATGATCAAGATTCAATATCTGACAATCTCACATACCAAAAAAAAAAAAAAATGAATGTATTTTCCAGGTGAAGCAGTCTTTTAACTTTCGGCAAATTTAGAGGCCAGACTTGGGGTATCAGTCTTGGGTCCTAGGTTTAGTTTAGACTGCTATCATATTTTTATGAATAAATTACTTGTTTTTATTGTTGTTTCCCTAAGATTTGCTATAAAATAAATAAAAAAACTAAAAATATATATTTGATTAAAAAGACTAATTTATAAAATATAAAACCAATTTTGATATAATTTTTTATATGAGAGAAACCATATTTTTTATTTTTTGAATGTTATTCATGAAAACAAAACTTTTTTTTTTTAAATTTCCAAAAAAATCAATATGTGAATTGTAACTAGGTGTACCGTTTAATTACTTCATTTTATTTTTAAAAGTTAAGAAAGGTAATAAAAATAATAGTCAAATTCACAAGCCTGACCTTTTCAAAGAATGCTGTTTTTTTTTTTTTTAAAGGTAAAAAATTAGTTGGTATTTCTCTGCAATATTTCTGAGTTGGTTGAGTCATGCATGACGTAGGCATTTCTCCTTAGCAGCCTATGTCCTCTTGAAATAGACTAGTCATAAAGTGATGATGAATTTTTCATTGTTTGTTTTGACCTTTTGCTCAAATGAAACTCAAATTAAAATGAAAATTTTCCATTGTGTTTCTTGGATTATCGAGCAAATGAAACTCAAGTTAAAATGAAATTCAATGTAACTTTTACAAAAATGTTTGGCTTTTCAAACAAAAATAGTAGCAGGAAGCTATAAATACAAGAACCAGCTAGGGATTTGTAAACAAAGAGCAAGTGAATTTTCATGGCAGCCAAAGAGGAGGTGAAGCTTTTGGGGTTCTGGGTTAGTCCATTTGTGCTTAGGGTCGAATGGGCTCTCAAAATCAAGGGTGTCAAGTACGAGTACATAGAAGAAGATATCTTCGACAAGAGCACCTTGCTCATGGAGTTGAACCCAGTTCATAGGAAAGTCCCAGTGCTTGTTCATGATGGGACCGTGATTGCGGAATCCTTTGTTATTCTTGAATATATTGATGAAACATGGAAGCAAAACCCATTGCTGCCTCAAGATCCTTACCAAAGAGCGTTGGCTAGATTTTGGGCAAAATTTGCTGAAGAGAAGGTACCAATTGCTTCTACCATCATTATTATTTTGTTTCAAATTTATGGATTATGTGTTTTAATACATTTATTTTGATGGAAATATAGATTTTTGAAGGTGCATGGAATGCTTTATGCTCCCAAGGAGAGGAAAAGCAAAAGGCTCTGCAACAAACCATTGAAGCCGTGGAGACACTAGAGGGAGAACTTCAATGGAAGCAGCAGTTCTTTGGAGGGGAGAGCATCGGGTATACGGACATTATATTGGGTTGGATCTCTTATTACCTTCCAATATGGGAAGAAGTTGGATCCATGAAAATTTTAGACCCAGTTAAATTTCCAGCCACCGTTGCCTGGATCAACAGGTTCCTGAAACATCCAGTGATCAAAGACACCTTTCCACGAAGGGAAATGATGCTTGTTTATTTCCACCAGCGCAGCGAAGCATTAGGTTCTACATCTCATGGGTGGCTTAGGGTTTAATCAATCCTCTTGTCACTGTTATTTATTTTCTGGGTTTCTGCTTTTGTTGCTTATAATAAACTCTTGCTTTCAAAAGAGCATTTGAAGGATAATAAATTGTACTTACAAATTGTGAAAATGTTGTCATTGAAGTTGCTGGTTTGGTTCTGTTTTATAGCAGTCTTTTCCAACACATAAAACAAAGCTATAGAATTATTCCAGTGTCGAACTCCATGTCCACTTGGGCATTTTATTCAATATTTTAAACCCTAAACAACATCCAATTTTAGGTTTTGGGCTCCCTGAAGCTCAATCCCTTTGATGCTGTGACCTAGAAAAGGGCTAAATATAATTTGATGGAGATTGGATTTAGAGATATAAAACCTTCTTTTATTTAACTTAACTCGGTTACAAAACTTACATTTTCCCGCATATAAAATTACATGCAAGTTACAGGGAGTTTTATTCCTGATTTTGACGTCTACATTTTGTTATTATTGAATGTACATTCTGTAACTTATTTACTGCTGTGAGTCTGTGACCGCTACGTGGAGCTCAACGGAGACACCTGGCTGTTCTGCTTCAGCATCATAGCCTCCTGCCTTGAGATATCGAACGCGTTTGCAAGCACATCCACCGGCATTCCTCGGAAAACTGAGTTACCACGGGCAATCAGGCTAACCTGGGCAATGGCGTTTGTCTTGAACGCTATCCTCTCCAACCCTTGACTGCCTGCCTGCCTTCTTCACCACAGCATGATTCTGGGGTACTGTTACCACCTGACCCTCCTCGTCCTTGTCATTGAATATGGCCTTCCCATTTGAATCCTTCCACTTCGCCTGGTGATGTAAACTATGCTGTGGGCATTGATGTTCCGGTGAGTAGTATAGATAGCATTCTGCACATTTCTTTATGGAAATGAAAAATCATGCATTTGCTTAATTATCCAATATGAAAATATGTAGTAGATGTTAGCTATCTTGAAAAGCACTCCTCTCTCAGCGCTAAGTCGGAGGAATTGGAGGATGGGGAGGTTATAGCTGTTGACGGTGGGGATTCGACCAGCTCGAGGTTAAAGACGTCAGCGTAGGAAGAATCAGTCCTGTGTTTTAGCCTCATTGGGCAGAATGTTTCTTCTAAGCCGTTGGATGATCCACTCTCTCCCTCTCTTCCTTGTCGTCTTCGATGTCCTTGTCTCCTGCTGGTTCTACCTTGCTATCTTCTTTCTCTGCTTTGTCCTCTCTCTTCTTCTGATCCCTCTTCCTCCTCCTCCTCTTCTTCTTCTTCTTCTTCCTCACTTCCCCGTTGCCTCTGCTCTTCCTCTTTTTTTTCTGGGCTTGTTAACTGAAATTCGTGCTCCAGTTTGACAATGGCTCCCCTGTTATCCTTTTCATTCTGTAGCTTCCTTGCTAACCTGGTGTTAATGCCGAGAACCTCTTCCACGGACTTCTCATCAAAGCCACTAAAAATATTTCTTCCTTAACTCTCTTGCCGCTCTTCCTCCTGGCCTCTCCGGCTTTAGCCTCGGCTTTGGCTTCTGTCTCTGCTTTGTCTCTGACCTCCAGTTACTAGTCCTTCTTGTGGGTTACGAGCAAGGAAGAACTTCTAAACCCAAAAATCAAATGAAAAGTCACAAAATGACCAAAAAAGAAAAAGAAACCCCAATACATTAATATGACAATAATTTTAATTTCTCACCCTGAAATTTTGATCGAGCTGGTTGTCATTATTGCCAACATCAACAAGTGAGACCAAGACAAGCTGACACTGTCCATTGTTGTAAATCCAGTGAGCTACTCCAGCTGGCAAGGCAATGAGATCACCCTCCTTGAATTGTCGGATCTTCTGGTGCTGATCCCTGGAACTCTATTGCTTATCTTGTCCACGTTGCGACTGCTGTGACCGTGATTGTTATGTCTCAGGACAGCCTGGGAAGGCCGCCCCTTGAATACCCTGGCCTGTATTGTATGTATTGAAACATAACAAAAATGTTAGCAACAGAATACAGAAAAATACAGCAAAGTTGCAGAATTGTTTAGGAAAACAATAAATTAGACCTTGAACAACATAGAGAAGCTGAGGAGCATTGTTAAATGAAGGTAATAAAAGGCCTTTGCGCTGGATTTTGTGGCGAAGGAAGGCAACACCAGTACACTGGAATGGTTTCTCATTTTGGTCCCAGAACTCAGTGACCCCAGCCTCTGGGCTATAGAGGTAATTAGGTTGAAGAGCATTCAAGTTCTGGAGTTAGCATTAGTTTTGATAGCGTTGCTGAGGCTGCTGCCCACGTTGGCTCTGGCCTCGATTAGTGACCAGATCTATCTGAGCAAAGCAGCCATGGAAGAGAACAAGAAAGCAAACGCTCAAAGAAAACAAAGAAGAGTAAGCCATAGAGGGCAATCGAGAGTTGAAATTTGATTTGGTGAAGAGGGAAGCTGATTTGGGCTGGGTATTTATAGAGGGAAAGAGTGGGGTTAGGATATGGGACGTGGCGAAGGGCTTTGGTGAAGGTTTTGGTTTACAAGCATGTGAAAATATCTTTACATGATTGCATGGCTGATGATGGCCTAACTCGTTTACACAATTAAATTCTCTTGGCAACGTGGTGCTGATCTATTGAGAATTGAAGAGAGTTCAGGTTGTTCTGTTCGTGCTTTTCGAGAATTTTTTTTTTAAATTCTTTTGTATACCTCTGAGATGCATAAAAGTTCAATGAAGGATCAGGGGCTGAGGGCATGATCTGCATAAATGATTAATGGATTATTTGGACAGTTCAGGCGAAGTCTGATAACTTGGTAATGGTTTTGTTGATTATTGATGAATGGTTAAAAGTAATGGAAATTTCTGGCTTGTGCTCTCATTTAGGGAAAAATCAAGATACAAGTGTTTTTCGCATAACAGATGATGACTTACTGATACAGGCGTTTCTGGTTTAGTTTTTTGGTTAACAAACATTTTTCTCACTAAAAGAAAAGAGATAGAGAAAACAATCTGAGTGGCATAGCTTCATTTGCCTATGCCTTTGTAGGATATCCGTGATAGATTTCAATGAAAATGCCCAAAAGGTATTAAATATGCATCTTTCCAAATGCTTTTCCAGAAGCTGGCATTACAAAGGACAGACATAGCATCTGATTTTACACCTAAATTTTTTAAGAGGATAATATTGAATTTAACCTGGTAATATGGTATATATTCGAAATAGAATCTGATAGAATATTGATAGAATCTATATTTTAGTGCTTGAAATCGGTTTTCCTTTATAAATTATGTGCAAAAGGTGTAACAGCAACAATGGGACTTCTGAATGATATTATTTTTCATTGATTCGCATCCCTAAATTGAATCACTAACTAAGTGTTCATAAAAACATGTTTGTACTTTCTGGTGACTTAAATTATTTTATCTCACCTAATTAAGTTGATCTCCCTTTTTTATCAGCAAGCTTAGTAATTGATTTCTCAGTTTGGGTTTCTAGTGCATATTTGCAGAATTGTTGATGATATAGTATGAAAAATGTCGAAAATAGTTATTCAAATCTCATAAAACATTTGTTTGATATTACTTAGATATTATTTGATGGATAAAAAGATTTATAAAAAAATTTTATAAGAGTAAATAGATTTTTGATAGACAAATTAGTATATTTATAAATAGATAGATTCTTCGTAATAATAAATATGAGAAAAAAATATAAGCGAGTTATATAATTTTTATTAGATAGACAACCCATGAGATTAAAAGAGATTAAGTGTGTCTTTATAAGTATGTATGTTTGAGTGGACTAAAAGAGAATGATAAAATCCACATAGATACGGTGTATGGATACAAATAAGTATATATTTATTTGGACTGAAAATATTTTATAAGATTATAAGAAAATAACAAAATCCATAAATATTAATTGTAAGCGAGATTAATTTGATGATATATTTATAATTTTTTATAATTAGTATTTTTTTTTTATCGTTAACATAAGTCGATCGAATTGAATCATGTAAAATTATTTTCTTACATAATTAATTAATTATTTGATTATATTTTTATTGACTTAATTGTTTAATTGATCGAAAATTTTTTGATCTAACAAAAATGGGATGTTTCCGTATACATTTCTTTACAGGAAGTTGAAGATATTACATTCTTTCATATTGATATTTATTATGATTCCACATTATTTACAGGTTATTTTGGCAACAAAAGTAAGTGGCTATTCAGAGATGTCAACTCATTTGCATGCGTGACAATGCAAAAGTTTTACAGGTTGATGCTGCTAATATTAGAGAAAGCGTTGAGAAAAGCCTTAAGCACCTCAACACTGATTACATTGGGTTACTGCAAATTCATAGGTAACATTACAGCTTTCTGAAGTGCATCAAATATACTAGGTTGTTTTCTTTTTTTTTTTTTTTTTTATTCAAATTAAACCACTCCACTCAATCGTTTGATTTTAAATAGTTTACATACGAAAAGTTTACAAATTTAATCAAAAAAAAATTTTAATATATTTAATATATATAAATAAAAAATAAAAATATAATTATAATATTAATATTTATAATTTTATTAAATTTAATCAAATTTATCAAATCAATTTTAAATTAGAGTGAATTTAAGTATAAAAAATAATTTCAATCGAATTTAAATCAAAATTCGAACATACGTCAAATTTTCTAGTAAAATTAATCTTGTATCTAGTAATATATCCAGATGATTTGGATTACTCACCTAATTCAGCCAAATAGGAGTACTTTTTGTTTTTGTTGAAAAAAATATTAAAACTAGATTTTATGTTTTGCAATGTGAGAATAAAAGAAGAATTTAAAAGAAGTTAAATTAGTTGGAAGATGAACGTGGAAGCAGGAAAAGAAGCGCGCCAATGTCTGGCCTCAAGTTCTTTTCAGCTGCAAGCTTTCCTATTCACAACATTTCACCGCTTAGTTCCCTCTCATTTCGCCTCTTCTCTCTCACTCTCTTTCTCATTGCCCATTGCAGAACAAAAAAACAATCGTCAAACAATAACAAAATAAAAAAAAAAAAAAGTAAATTCATTTCATGATCAAATCAAACAATCCCATATTTTTAAAATTCTAAATGGATTTTTTTTTTTTTTAGTTTGGAACTTTGGGTTTTCATTATTTGATAAAAAAAGTTGGATTTTTTATGATCAAAGAGTAGTTGGTTGATGAAGAATTGTTCAGGGTTTGGTGAATGTTGGGAAAGGGAGGTATAAATTGGGTTTGATTGTTGATGAGAAGCCACAGCAGAAACCATATGCATCTATGAAGATAAGGGCAAGGGAGTCACCGTTTCATTACCTGATGCTTGAGCGTATTCGTCTATGGCAGTTTCCTCTCAGTTTTTGTAAATGGAATGGCAGATCTTGTTCGTTATGGCAATTCTGAACGTGACATTGAACAAGTAATCACTTCCTCTTACATTTTTCATTTTTACATATTTGCCATGAGAGTGTAAAAGAAAAGCTTTGGTGATATTTGAGAGCAAAGACATAATTTGGATTCATATATATAGTTTATTTTTTGCTATTTGTTAAATTAGCAGAAAATCTTAGATTAAAGCATGGGATTCTGAAATAACAAAAATGAAGAAGAAAAGCTGATATTAATTCAGATTTAATATGGGAAAGTAATCTCTAAAATTATTAGGACAGGTGTTTTCACTAATTTAGCGTTGGTTTGAGTGAAATATTGGTTTGCCAATTAAATCCAATAGTTGTGACAATTATGGTGCAAATTTCATCTTTTATTTCTACTTGAGAAGAAATTATACATTATAGAATAGGACCTTAAAGATAAGGATCATACAAGATTAATTGATTCCTGTTGATTGTGAAAATGGAGCCAATGATAAAGGTGAAGATTGGGAGTTAATAAAGTCAGATTCTCTCGTTTTCTAGTTTGATATTTGTTGATTGTTTCTGGTTTGGTGATTGGGTGCTTGCTGGAAAGCTGGTCAAATGACTGTCTTCAAAAGAACAGTCATGGGGCACCGGAGGTAGTACTTCCGGTTGCTTTTCGTTGCTCAAGTTAGTAAAATAGAGTAGATGAGAAAAGGTAGAGAGAAGGATAAGGTAAGGAAGCAGGTGAGAATAAGTGAAATGAGAGTGAAGGGTTCAGAATGAGGTATGTATGGCCCGACCTTACCTTTTATAATGAATTTCTGCTGATGTGATCAATTGGCTTCTCTGATATTGGTTAATTGCTGGACTATTTGAGGTGGTCACTGATATAAAGATTAGCGTGTGTTGACTTGGCGATCATAATGTTGACCAGCGGTGAGAGTAGAACACTACTCAAGAGAAAAAAAAGAAAATTGAACTTGCATTTAAATAAGGTGAAAAATGAGATACTGAGACCAAAAGCTTAAAAATAAACAAAAGAATTGGATAAATCCCCTAGAAATGAGCAAGAATTTGATGTGAAGTGGCACATTTTCTTATCTGGTGAACTGCCTCTATCTGTTACCCTTGCCTAGGCACCTGCATACCTAACATATGTTAGAAATATTGACTCAAATCTTATAAGAGATTTGTTTGAGATTTGTCAAATATTGCTTGATGGACAAAAAGACTTACAAAAGAAGAATTCCAAGAAAAAGAGGATTCTTAATAGGTAAGTTTGACTTGCAAGAGAAGAATTCTAAAAGGAAAGGAATTCTTAATAGGCAAGTTTGACTTACAGGAGAAAAATTCTAAGAGGAGAAGGATTCTTAATGGGCAAGTTTATATGGTTATAAATAGATGAAGTCTCTATAGGATTAGGTATGAGAAAAAGATATAAGAGAGTTGTAGGGTTTTGTGGGATAGATACCCCATAGGAGTATTGGGGCTCTACGTCTTATGGGTGTGTATGTTTGTTTGTGAGTGGACTAGAGGTGTTTGTTTGTGAGTGGACTAGAGGAGATTAAGAGGGTCCACATAGGTATGGTGTATAGGAGCATATGGATATGTGTTTGGTTATGTTGAAAGGGTGCACAAGGGTTTGAGTTTGTGTTTGTTTGAGTTGAGAATACTCCATAGGACTAGAGGAGATTGAGAGTGTCTTATGAGTATTGATTGTTGAGTGAGGTTGATGATTTGATGTATGTTTGTAATTCTCTACAACTAGTGGATCTTGTTTTTTATCCGTGGATGTAGGTCAGTTGGACCGAATCACGTTAAATTATTATCTCTTGTGTATTTGATTTATTGTTTCATTTCGCTTCCGCTGGTGTGATTGAATTAAAGGCTTTTAGCCTAACAACATAATCCTCTTTCTCTGACTAAGAAAAAAATTGAGTGCCTGTTGAAAGTTGCCCTTTAGAAACTCAAAATGAGACACATGCTGTCTGATTCATCAAGACTGCAGATTTTAGCATTATCTTTTTCTTTGTTTCATTTATGTCTAACAGTTTGATCTACTGTTTGTCTTACTTGTTCTTTTAATATCTTACCCTTTGTTTTGAAGGCACTTATTGCTTTGAAGAAGGGAACTCAGCTTCTCAAGTATAGCCGTAAAGGAAAACCCAAGTTTCGTGCATTTAGACTTTCCCCGGTGAGTTACTTTCTGTCCTGCCCTAAATCTTCAATATTATTACATCTCAATGTCCTCTTTCTGCTTTTTCCCATATCAATATTCGGGTTTAACCGAATTATACTTTGTCTGCAGAATGAATTCTTCATTATTATTTTGGCCTTTTGTAGTTCTACATATATACATATATATATATATATATATGTTACACATTGAATTACACTATAATCATCCAGGTTTAGCACTTTGGATTTGTGATGATCTGTGAATCAAGGTCCTAACTGTCTGAGTGGATAGCTGGTAGCCTGGCACTTATTTTAAGATTGTCTGGAGTCTAAAACAAGAAAGATAAAAAGAAAGATCCTAGTTTGATAAACAACCATAGATAAGTTTTTCACAGAACTTCAAGGTGAAATAATTGTTTGAATGACGACAGTTAATATCCTAACCTCATTCAAAAAGGTAAGTAAATAAGCAAGAAGGGCATTTATGTAGTTCTTATATGCATGCATTTGCATGTGAATTCTCTTCTATTTCCTTTTTCTTCTTGTATTTGAGATTGTTAGAAATTGAGTTCTGATCATCTGAACTACAAGTCCAACATTCTACCAACAGACCACATGGTTGTTGGCTATTTCCTATTTTTTATTTTTCTAGTAGGAAGCAGCTGCTTATATAAAGGTATATGCAGTTTTCTCTCTCAGTAATCTTAAGCAAATATATGATTTAAATTTTAGCTGTATTAACAGGATGAAACGACACTAATATGGTTATCACATGGAGAAGAGAAGAATCTGAATTTAAGCTCTGTCTCTCGTATCATTCCCGGACAGCGAACTGTAAGTTCATTTTCAGCTTTTCATTTTTCCAGTTAATAACGTATGTTTCAGTTCAATTATCCTTCTTTTCTATGTTATACCACTAAGATTTCCATGCAAAAAAAGTTAAATAATATTAACCACTGCTTGCCAACTTTTACAGGCCGTTTTTAGAAGATTTTTGCGTCCAGAAAAAGAGTACTTGTCATTTTCACTTCTATATAATAACGGTGAAAGAACTCTCGACCTGGTTAGTAACAGTTATTAGTTAAGTCTGCTATTTATCTATATTCAGCTGAAAACATTGTCTACCTCCATAGATCTGCAAGGACAAAGTTGAGGCAGAAGTGTGGTTAGCGGGGCTCAAGGCATTGATTGGAAAGAATCGTAACAGACGAACCAAGAGTGATTTAAGTGATGTGAGTCCTTTCTACATGCATATGCACATGAGAAGTCATTTGTTACATAATCAGTATTTATTGGAAAATCCACTTATAATATAACACAACTGTAGCTTCATCAATAAGGAGAAAGCTGTGCCCCTACCGAAGTATTGATTTCATTAGTTAAATTACTAACTTGGGAATATGGCAGCAAATGTTTTGAGTCTTATCAATTTAAAGTGGAACAATCTATGTGACATAGTTCTAGTAATGAATCAATAAGAACATCAAATTGCATTTGATATGGTCTTTTGGATGACACATACAGTGTGAGCCTCCATTATAATTACAAGAATTCAGGGAATGTATGCAGATATTTGTTGCCTGTTCTTTAGATTCGAACCTTTACTTTCTAACTTCCATGTCTTTATGACAGCTACAAGAGGGATATTTCTTGCAAAATGGCCGCCCATTTGGTGCAGCTCTAGAGTTCAACAATAGTATTAACTGTGGTAGGGTGTCCATAGATTTTGGAAGCTCAGATGTGAGGTCAGAACATGCAAATATGCAGTTGAGAACTAGTGGTGGAGATGGTTTCCGAATTAGTGTTTCAAGCACTCCTAGCTGTTCAAGTGGTGGATCTGGAGGTCCAGATGACATAGAATCATTAGGTGATGTTTACTTATGGGGAGAAGTTTGGTCTGACGGAGTTACACCAGATGCATCTGTAAGCTCAGTCCCTACAGAAATTGATGTGCTAACTCCTAAGCCCTTGGAATCAAACGTAGTACTTGACGTTCATCAGATAGCTTGCGGTGCAAGACATGTTGCTCTTGTAACAAAGCAAGGTGAAGTTTTCACCTGGGGTGAGGAATCGGGTGGGAGACTTGGTCATGGAATTGAAAAAGACTTCAGCCGCCCCCGATTAGTTGAGTTCCTGGCAGTAACTAATGTGGATTTTGTCGCAGCTGGAGAGTATCACACATGTATTGTATCGACAGCTGGTGATTTATTCACATGGGGTGATGGTACTCATAATGCTGGACTCCTTGGTCATGGCACTGATGTTAGCCATTGGATTCCAAAAAGAGTTTCTGGTGCATTAGAAGGACTACAAGTCTTGTCTATCGCATGTGGCACTTGGCATTCAGCTCTGGCAACTTCTAATGGGAAGCTATTTACATTTGGTGATGGAACATTCGGTGTTTTGGGCCATGGAGATAGGGAAAGTGTTGCACATCCAAAAGAAGTTCAAATGTTGAATGGACTGAAGACTATTAAAGTTGCATGTGGGGTATGGCATACAGCAGCTATTGTCGAGGTTATAGGCCAGTCAGGTGCTAACGTTTCATCAAGAAAATTGTTCACCTGGGGTGATGGTGATAAACAGCAGCTAGGTCATGGAAGTAAGGAAACTTATCTACTTCCAACCTGCGTCTCTTCACTAATTGACTACAATTTCCACCAGCTAGCTTGCGGACATACTATTACCGTTGCACTTACTACATCAGGTCATGTCTTTACCATGGGTGGTACTGCATATGGTCAACTAGGCAACCCAAGCTCTGATGGAAAGTTGCCATGCCTGGTGCAAGAAAGACTGGTAGGTGAATTTGTTGAAGAAATTTCTTGTGGGGCATATCATGTTGCTGTGCTGACATCTAGAAGTGAAGTGTTCACGTGGGGAAGAGGTGCCAACGGAAGACTGGGACATGGTGACTTAGAAGATAGAAGTACTCCAACATTGGTTGAAGCACTGAAGGATAGGCATGTAAAAAATATATCATGTGGTTCGAATTTCACTTCCTGTATATGCATCCATAAATGGGTCTCCAGTGCTGACCAGTCAGTTTGCTCTGGCTGCCGGCTGGCATTTGGTTTTACTAGAAAGAGGCATAATTGTTATAATTGCGGGCTGGTGCACTGCCATGCTTGCAGTTCCAAGAAAGCATTGAAAGCAGCATTGGCTCCAACGCCAGGAAAACCTCATCGCGTTTGTGATGCTTGCTACGCAAAACTTAAAGCTGCTGAAGCTGGTAATACTTCAAATTTGAATAGAAAAGTTGCTGGCCCCCGCCCCTCAATAGATGGCAGGGAAAGATTAGATAGGGGAGAGATAAGGTCTTCTAGGCTTTTGCTCTCTCCCACCACAGAACCGGTCAAATACCTTGAGATCAGGGCAGGAAAACCTGGTGCCAGATATGATTCTCCTTCCTTAATCCGAGCTTCGCAAGTTCCGTCACTTTCACAGCTTAAAGATATTGCATTTCCAAGTTCACTCACTGTTATTCAAAATGCTTTTAAACCTGCTACTCCTTCACCAACGCCACCACCTCAGTCCCCTATCAACTCAAGATCTAATTCACCATACTCAAGGAAACCAAGTCCTCCACGCTCTGCCACACATACATTTTCAAGGAGTGTTATTGAAAGCCTCAGGAAGTCAAATGAACTTTTGAACCAAGAAGTGGCAAAATTGCAAAATCAAGTACTAGTGATATACTTTTTTGCTATTCCGTTATGCTCATTACACTGCTAGTGTTAACCATGCAGCCTACCATCAAAAATAATTTTTTTTCTCCACTTTTGAGCTATTACAGATCAAAAGTTTGAAGCAGAAATGTGATTCACAAGACATGGAGATTCAGAAACTACGAAAAAATGCTCGAGAATCTGCTTTATATGCTGTAGAAGAATCATCCAAGTCTAAGGAGGCCAAGGAAGTAATGAAATCCATCACAGATCAGGTGTAGTTTAATTTACTTAATTTTTCAGTTTGCCATTAGATATAAACCACTGCTCATTTTAAATGCAAACCACACTATCTACAACTACACCTACTGATAATACAATTCAATATTGTTCCACAGTTGAAGGAAATAACAGAGAAATTGCCTCCTGAGGTTTCTGAAAGTGAAACCTTTAGAGCTATGCATACTCAAGCTGACGCATTCTTAAACACTTATGGAACGTCTGAAGCTTCTTCTTCTCCTCCAGAATTATCAGAGTCTTCACATATGCAAGATCAGAGGGTGGAAGATAATATGGACGATGCAGCTACTGTCCCATCTAATGATAATGGAAGTTCTACAGAGGCTGTGGAGATTGCAGCTGCTGTCCCATCTAATGATAGTGGAAGTTCTATAGAGGCTGCACCTCAACAAAGCTCAGAAAAAGAATCAAGATCACCAGAGGCTTCAGCAGTTAGAGGTGGAGGGGAAAAAGAAATTTCTGAGCAATATGAACCTGGAGTCTATATCACTTATGTTCATCACCAAAATGGTGGGAAGATCTTCAGACGAGTTAGATTCAGGTACTTGACTAAATGGCTGATTCTACTGAAATTTCACATGCTGATTCATGCATAAATCAGCAGAAAATTAATTTTTCTTGTAATTTCTGAAGAATGAGTAAGATTCCAGACCTTATTTTCTTCATCCTTTGGACAGAAAAATTCCGTTCAACTAATTCTGTTTTTTCGTGTGATGATGGATCTCACATTAGACAATTTAGCTAGGCTGAACCATGTCAGAATGACAAGAGGATAGCATGGTTGTTAGACTTTTAGAAGGGCTCTGCTATCAATCTTATATATCACAGGGCAAGTTATAGAATGTTTGTATCCTAAGTTTCTGCTTACAAGTTCACTGCAGGAAAACATGGTTGGAAACAGGAATGGATATAAAATAAGTTCTGAAATAGCTCCTCCCCCCCCCCCCTTCTGTCTCGCACACTCGCACACTCACACACTCACACACTCACACATACACGCATCGCATGGATACAAATATACACATGCAGAATGCTCCATCCACGCATATACACACTCGAATAAACAAATTCCTCTGCTGATCCATTCTACTTTTCTGAAAAACCAAGATTAACTAGCATTTATTGTACGACAGTTGCATTGCAATTGTTCAATGACCTGCATGAAGAGGTCTAAATCTCAGTGCCGTTTATTGACTCCAACATTTTTGCAGCAAAAGAAGGTTTGATGGGCAACAGGCAGAAGAATGGTGGAGCAAAAATAAAGATAGGGTGCTTATGAGGTACAGTCCACATGCAACAAAACCAGCTACAGCTGTATCATTCCCTACTCAACCACCACCAGCACCTGCTGATGAAACCACTGAGGAAGCATCCCCTTCTCAAAATTAGTTTCATAAAATTTTGTCATCTGCCAATGTAGAGTAGAAAAAGATCAAGTGGCTATCCTGATTCGTAATAGCAGCATTATCATGGATCAACAATTAGAGGATGTATTTGTTTTTAGAAAAGGTTAGTTATGGATATATATTATATATCTTATTCAGGAAATTAAGATACAAGAATTTTCCATCAGATTACCTCATCAAGGCAAAGAAACAGCTCCATGCTCTGGAGTTGATGACTACAAACTCTGAAGACTTGTCTACTTTAGGGGAAGAAAAAGGTGCATGTAACTCTTCTTATTCATTCTTTGTTTCTTATCTGTTGTTTTCTAAACCTTTCTACTGAAACATTGTAGCTGTGCAATACATAAAAAATAAAAAAATTTTAATATGATCGTTGGTGAAGCTTTTTCTCTTTTTTTTTTTTTATACTGTGCTTTCGTCTTTAGAAAAGGATTGATTCGGATCTTAGGAGTATGGATATCATGTATCAATCGCTAAGTCAAATGCATACATGCATCGGACATGCATATATACATAAATATTTACATAAGAAATTTGAAGAATGAATGGCTAAAATATAATATTGTCCAACTTTAGTTTATAGTTTTTTTTTTTTTTCAGAATATATACAAAGTAAAATGTAAAATCTTTTTCAGAATATTTTTACTTTAGATTTTATCTAAAGTAAAATCTTTGGATCCATTATTTATAATACATGGTTCAATACAAACTAAAATCAAACTGCAAATTGGGACAATGAAAAAGAAACTACATACAAAGTAAAAATATTACTCTTGTTTGTTCAAAGCAAATATATGAAGTAATAAGTAAAACCTCAGGACAGTTGTTTATTCACCCAACTTTTACTAACATGAAACGTCCTGTTCATTACATTTCTAGCATAGTAATGGCAATCAATGCCTCTATCCGGTCAGCTATGATGGAGGCACCCAATTTTGATTTGCACTCTGCCAATGAGGCTGGCTCAGGTAGCAACACAATAATTGACACTTCTACTGGGGATGAGATTGTAGAAGATGGTCCAATTCAGCCCCATCAGCTCCACCAGCTGGGGATGAGATTGTAGAAGATGGTCCAATTCAGTATCCATCGATTGATGCCACTCCTATTGATATGTCTTCCTGATCAACTTGCGAAATTAAAGCTACCTGCTAGTGCTGGTCAAACAAAAGAAGTTGGAGGCTCTTCTTCATGTGTAATATGTTTGAATGCTCCATCCGAGGCAGCTTGTGTTCCTTGTGGCCATGTTACTGGGTCGATGTATGTCTTGTTTGAATGAGATCAAATCCAAGAAACGGGGTTGCCCTCTATGTCAGCTGGTTATAAAACTGTATTTGAATTTCACATCCAAGTTTGTGTAAACTGTAAATGTATCCAAATTCATATATTTGATTCATATTTTTATATGAGTCTTTTTCTTCAAAATGAATAATATAAAATTGTAAAATAATAAAAACAAAATTACCCCTTGACAGAATCTGGTTGGGAACAATGTCGGCATACCATTACACTTTGCATGAACTCAAACATCAAAATAAAAAATGGCAAGGCTCTTTTGGAAGACATTCTTGTCATGTTGGAGTCGCTTTTGATATAAAAAGTGGATGGTTATGTTTCCTTAATAGAGTGTGATATACTGTGGAGTTATCAGCCATTCATAATATTAAAACAAAATATTTGAAAATTTAAAACACGACAAAAAATAATAAAAATAATATGATTTAAAATTTTAATAAAAATTAAAATATATATATATTTCGTGTTTAGTATATGAACATAAATTAAGATACGATAATTTTTATATTTATATGTATTTAATATAAAATAAATATAACCCAAATACAGAAATTATTAAATCTAACTAATGATAAACCAAGAAAGTCCCCATTTCACTATTTCATGCACTTTATGCTTTACTCATGTCTTTAATCATGAAGAGCCTAAATTCCTGTTTCGGATGAGTCCTAGAATTGGGTCCAAGAACCGTCAAAAGCACTTGGCTCCATTTTTTCATCATCTGAATGCTGTTCATTTGGGATTGAGTAACTGTTCAGGGTTTCAGTACATGCACATTTAGCTCAATAATTGCTGTATATGATTTATTATTATTATTATTCAACAATAATTTAGTCGTTCCTGGAATAAATATTCATGTTGTTTAATTTCTTGAGTTAAGTCCAAAAGGGTAAAAGCAACTAACCAAGTGAAGCAAAGGGCTGCAGATTTAAGGCTAACCTTAATTGCCTCCTTACTCTGTAAGCCAATGCAAAAATGAATTTTGTAGAATAAACCAGAAAAGTTTGGCCCAACCCATAAATTATATTGACCTGATCATGCTGAATGTCAAGAATAAAGCCTGCTTCATGATCTTTCCCTTCTTTTGAACTCAAGAAGAATAACAGATTTAAACCTACTTCTTAAACCAGAGAATGGATAAGCACTTTCATTTAACCAAATTTTAAGAACTAAATTTCTTTTATATAATATAACTAAGAGTATCTTATATTTTGCTTGATTCTAATCCCTTCACATGATGATCTTATAAGAAGAATACAGCCTTTTGCATCAATTTCCGTAGTTGACTTTCTGACATCCTCTATATCTACAATCAATGTCCCATTAACTATGTCTTTAAGGAGATTTTTATGCATATATAAGTTTTCCATTAGGCTTAGCTTGAAGTATATAACTAATACATTTGGTTCAGTTTGACATCTTTACATCATAAATTTTTTTTTATTTTTACTATGATTAAACTCAATTGTCATAATATCATTTGAATTTGTCCTGTAAATAGGATCAAAGTATTGAATTAATCGAATGAGGCAAGGAGTTATCCTTTAATTGTCCTAAACCCACAAAGAATTAAGTTCGAATTTGGAAATTAAGCTACTCACTTAAAATATTACTGTGATATTCTGCACATCAAGGCTTATTTATTTACAAACTCCACAAGACCACATCACAATAAATTTTTCTGCAAATTTTACTGAATTCGCTTCAAACATGTAGCTCTCTTGGAATATTAATAGAACAGAAATGAAACATGAAGTACATGAAATGTACTATTCATTCCTATTTGTTTTATTATTCCTTGGCAGTAGGCAAACCAATTGTTGTAACTTATATATGGTTCTTTGACATGTTATTGCAAGAAGCCAGGAATCATACAAGAGAGTTAGAAATTGTCGGGCAAAAATATATAAAAGTTGAAAGATTGATGTCTGGGAAATGTCAATGTTAAGTATAGAATAACTGTTTCTAAAAAAAAAAAATCCATCTCCTTCTATTTGTATAGTTTATAATTCGGTTAATTTCGAATTAAATTAATTATATTATATTTTTTCATTAATTGAATCAAATTAATTAATTTCAAAATTTTGATTAATTGGATTAATTTTTTATTAACCAAAATAATAAATATATTTAAATTAAATTATATTTTAATTTTGTAACTTTTCATATTTGAAACAAATTAAATAAAATCATCCAAAAAATAATTAAAGGAGTTAGTATATGATACATTCTCAATATAAATTTTTAATTTTACAAATAGTATCTCATTTTTATTTTTAATTTTTTAAATATACCATAAGAGGTATATATCACCTTTTTAATTTCGTTTGTAAAATTTAAAAATTTTACTGTTATTATATTTGATAATTTTTTAATATTTAAATACTAAATTATTAAGTTAAAAATTCAAACAGCTTGTAAAATGAAATGGTTGATTTCATATATTTTTAATTTTACATTTAGGTTTTGTTATGTTTCAATTAAAAATTCGGTTTTCAAATCAAATTAATCGAAAATAAAAATTTCTTTGAATCAATTTTTATAATCGATCAAAATTAATTTGATAATCAATCAATTTAATAAAATTAAATTAATTAATTTAATTAAAATCGAATTTTAAACACCCTTAAATTCAAGATATTGTTATAGGAAACAAATCCTATTAACTTGGGACAATTAACAGCCGTACAATTATTTTTCTTCTTCACATTTTGAGTGCTCCATTGGCACTTTCTTTGAATTTATGTCCGCCCACCACCAAAATGAAGCTAATTTTATGTTTAAAATTTGAATAAGGTTTTAATTCCGTCTAAAGCAAGGCTTTTTTTCCGAACATAACATCTCCTATTGAAAAAGATTGAGATATGAGATCTGGATTCTACTTTGCTTTTTCCTAATCAAAGAGAAAAGCAAAGAGGAAAACTAATTCGGGTAGGCTTTGAACCTTTGCCCGCTTCCCGGATCTCAATTTCGATCCCCAATTACTTGAATTGAAAGATAATTCTTGGGTTAAAGTACTAATCTGATCATGTTTATGCAAAACATCGAATAATTCAAATGATCAAGAGATTGATTAGCATATATTTAAAGATATTCTATCGGTTTCTTTAAGATCGATGAAGAAAGAAAAATAAAAATAAATATTTTTAAAAGTTGCAAGATACTAAAATTATTTTTTAGAATCCATATTAGAACATCATCATGTTTGTGATGAATTGAAATGCATACATCAACAGTTATATAATTGGTTAATAGAATGTCGGATTTTTAATTTTAATAATAAAAAATTTTCAAATATTAAACAGAAAAAAAAAAACGTAATTAGTTTTTAATAGAAGTTTGTTGATTTAAAGTATATGAAATTATAAATAATTTCGATTGTTAAGAGAACATGGAGAAAGTTGATAAATTAATGAATTATGTAATTAAATTATGAGTAAGATGTTATATTATGATAAGAGGAGGATATATATTATTATCATTAGCTATTGAGATTTGATTAATAACTTATTAAATATTAATTTTTAAAAATAATTATATAAATTAATTAAATTAAAACTCGAAATTTATATCATTGACACATTTCATTTTCTTTTTCCAAATGATTGGAGCATGAAAACCAATTAATCACGAAATTGAAAGCCTAAAATTGTTTCAAAAAACAATCCATCCTTTAAATCATTCACTGTAAGTGATATGAAAATATTCAGATTTTGATTTTAAAAAAAATAAGTTTTTTTTATAAAATAAATTTGAAGATAAATAAATTATTTAATTATTTAAGTTAAAATAAAATATATTATATTTGATAATTTAAAATAAATATTACAAATAGTATATTTAAAATAATTTTAATAAATAATTATTTATAAAATTTAAATTTAAAATATTTTCATAAAAAAATAAAATTTAATCTATTAAATCAATTATTTATTAATTCTATCTAACAAATTGAGCTAAAGGTTCGAGCGAAGAAAAATTAATCTAAGTTGATGCTGAAATTGCACGATATATAGGATAGTGATTGATTTGTT